GTGGATGTTGTGTTGGTGGAGGTGGTGATGCTGATGGTGCTGATGATGTTAATTTTGATGGTGGTGGTGGCGTTGACTCGGTTTTGGTTTTGGTGCCGATGGTGGTGGAGGAGATGTTGATTTTGGTGGTGGTGGTGGTAATGGTAGTGCTGGTGATGGTGACGGTGGCGGTGGTGGTGATGGTTGTGGTGGTGCTGGTGGGGTTGGTGGTGATGTCCGTGCCACTGGTGGCAGTGTTGGTGGTGATGAGGGTGCTAGTTGTGGTGGTGATGATGTTGGTGGTGCCAGTGGTGGTGGTGGTGGTAGTGGTGGATGCGGCAGTGATATTGGTGGTGGTGTTGTTGGTGGTCTTGGTGGTGTTGGCGGTGATGCTGGTGCTGATGGTAGTGGTGTGATGATGGTGGTGGTGGTATTAGTGGTGTTGGTGATGTTGATGGTGGTGGTGTTTCTGGTGACTGTTGTGGTGTTTCTTCTGATGGTGGTGGTTTTGGTGGCGTTGGTGTTGTTGGGGATGGTGGTGATGGTGGTTGTGTTGGTGGTTTTATTGGTGATGGTGGTGGTGATGATGGTGATGTTGGTGGTGGTGCTGGTGGTGCTGGTAGTGGTGTTCCTGGTGGTGATGTTTGTGGTGGTAGAAATGGTGGTGGTGATGGTGGTGATGGTTATGGTGGTTGTGGTTTTGGTGTTAGTGGCGGTGGCGGTGGAAATTTTGGTGGTGGTGCTGTTCCAGGGGATGATGGTGGTGGTTGTTGTCGAGGTGGTGCTGACGGAGGTGGTAGTGTTTGTTTTGGTGGTGGTCATGGTGGTGTTGGTGGTGGTGCTGTTGGTGGTGCTGGTGCTGGTGCCAATGGTAGTGGTGTGATGATGATGGTGGTGGAGCTGGTGATGTTGGTGGTGGCGTTTCGGGTGATGGTGGTGGTGTCTCTGATGATGGTGTTGATGGTGTTTCTGGTATTGTTGGTGGTGGAGTTGGTGGTGCTTGTGGTGATAATGGTAATGGTTCTGATGGTG